CTAGAGGTGTATCTGTCGTCGCTGCTATCACTGAATACTTCATACTCATCCCTTTACTCGCGCGCTTTCACTTTCCTTCCATCGCTAACTAGTTTTATTCTCTTGCTATGCAAACACACACATTCTTAAAGGTATCCAGGAACAGGTTGATCACCAACTTAATCCTGAACAAGCAGAGAATTGTCCGCTGAGAAAAAAATTATAGAAAATTTATGAGGTAATTTTTTCATAAATTCAAGCTTTCCAGTTTCTTGTGGAGCAACCTATTTTGATGGCAAGCTTGTAGTATACGTTTCTCCAATAAGAAGTCCAAGATTATGGATAGATATGACCTCTTCTACGTCTCAGATTTCATATATCTATGAGATTCAAAAAGAAATAATACAAGTCGGTAAGCATAAAGCTAATTAGATATAGATAGCCCACTTAATAACCCAGAATTTGAAGAATAGGAAATTTAGTGCACTCAACGTTAATAGCAGCTTTTTAATGTTGACGGCCAACTGTAAATGCTTTATACGCAGGTGTCACCATCGTTGTGCAAAAGCCATCAAGGGGGTCGTACTTTTGCTCTGGGGAGGGGGGTCGTATTTGTAAGACAAATTTATTTTGATAGTTGATTTTTTCTTGTGGAAAAGGGGGTCGTATTAATTTTTTGTTTTATATGCACTATATGGCGGGGGGTCGTATTAATTTTTTGTTTAATTTTGTTTTAATATGCACTATATGTATTCTGCCCGTGGGATATACGTTGCATAGTTATTGTATACCCCCCCCCCGCTCGACAACTTTTTCGCCGACTATATACTCATTGCTCGTCGTCGGCGAAAAAGCCGTGGAGGTGGAGGGGGGGGGGGTCGTGCCTGGACCCCATTCGAAGGGGGGGGGGTCGTACTCACACCGACATTTCGCACATCCCCATGCTGTACCCTGGTGGGGAGAGGGTCGTAAACGTAGGGTGGGTGAGCGCGGAACAGCGTAAATGTGTCATCGCTAATTTTGTGAAGCGACACCAAAAATTGTAGAGAACCCGGACGTGTGAAAGACTATAAAATAATAGAATAATCCTCCCGAACCCCAAGAAAACTTGAACAAAACTTGAACTCTGCTTGCATGAACAAAAAGTGCTTACTGTTGGAAGTTACACCTTCCCAATACTTCACGTGGGAACGAAATGCGCGACGCACCCTCACATGAAATCGATCGATGATAATCAGGCTATCTTTCAGTCAGTTCAACAGGAATATGTGTTTCGAAGGCATACTGAGGTTTCCAAATGAGTGTTCTTACAATGGCACAGAAGGAGTCGAGCTTTGAGGGGTTCAGTTTTTCACCCACCACGAACCCCAAAATATTTTTTCGGAAAGGGGCCACACGGGACCCTCCTTCGGAGAGTCGTACCGGCACCGCCATTTCCGCATTACAATGCTGTACCCTATTTAAGCTAGGCGTTGGCAAATGGTCTGAAACGCATTGGGAAGGTGAAAAAACTCGACAAGTGGGTGCCCCACAATTTGAGTGACCGGCAGAAATTGGCACGTCTCGAGGTTTCTTCTTCACTGCTTTTGCACAACAGAAACGACCCGTTTTTGGACCGAATTGTCACGTGTGATGAAAAGGAGATCATGTATGATAACAGGAGACGTTTCGGACAGTGGTTGGATGCCGGCGGACCCCTGAGGCAATTTCCAAAGCCGAATCCTCACGACAAAAAGGTTATGGTCACAGTGTGGTAGTCATCGGCTGGTGTGATCCACTATAACTTTTTGTCACCAGGCCAAACCATCACAGCAGAACCCTACTGTGAAGAAATCGACGAAATGTACCGAAAATTGCGTCAGCTGCAGCCAGCACTTGTCAACAGAAAGGGTCCGATTCTTTTGCATGACAACGCCCGCTTTCACAAATCACTATCCATAAATTGAACGAATTGGGGGTTGAAGTTCTACCTCACCCGCCATATTCTCCAGACCTTTCACCAACCGACTATCACCTTTTCAAACATTTTCAGAACTTCCTTGCTGGAAAATACTTCATCAATCAGGACCAGGCAAAAAAGCCTTCGTGGATTTCGTGGATTCTCGACCACCCAGTTTTTTCTTTGATGGGATTTATCGACTGCTGTCACATTGGCAAAAGTGGCTGAAGCTATTAAGAAAGTTATGATAGGTTTTAACATGAAACCCCAAGGTTCTCAAACGCGCGAAACTTTCCGCGGACAAGCCTAAGTAGAACTCGATCCTGAGATAGCGAGACACACCATGTTAGGCTCGAGAATGCTAGCTCCAAAGCACACCTTCCAGTACCTACTAGGGTAGTAGAATGACGAGTTGTGAAGGCTACATAGGCACCTCGGTCTCTTGAAAAGACGAGATAAAGCGACCACAGACGCGTGAATCCCCCCCCCCCCGACATATGCACATTGTTTTTATCACTCTGCGGGGAGCACAAGTTGTTTCGCTCTCATTGCACAGCTTTCTTAAAGGCAAGCAAGAAGTAGCAGTCTACTTCGCACGGCAAGATGCGTTTTGGCACACCTCAAATTTAGCAGTGATGCAATCGCGTTGGTGCACAAGACCCTAGTGCATGATTGGCTTACTGTAGTAGTAATCTCATGCACAGAACTTTTGAGAGCTGTTCTTTATCCCAGTGCTTTTGTTTTCAGTATTTTTTCTAACATTGCATAGCATTTAGTGCTAGAAGATGAGTAGAAATGATTTGTGAGCCAGGGTGCACAAAGGCCCCATCGAGTCGCCAACAAGTTCGGAGAACTGGTACACTGACGCTGTGTGACTGTCGTAGAGTGGTTTTGTTTAGGCTGTTTTCGAGGATTTTCTGCTCCCTTCTCTAAAAGGCAGGGCAGGACATCGCGTTGTGATAAGTTTCTGCTAAATACAGCCGCCCCCACCCGCCCCCCCCCCCACCTCCGAAGGCGCCTTTGCTTTGATACCTTCCTCACCCAAGACAAAAGACAAAAAGCTTGACGATATCGAATAGGATACTTGAATATTAATGGTTCGCTCACATTCAGTGGTTGTATGTACGCAAAATGAGCCAGAGGCTGTAGGAGTATCCTTTTCCAAATATTCATAACTTTCAACGCAGTGGGACTTCTGAAAAGATTTTTTTCTAAGATTATATGGCATTTAGTGCTAGAAGATGAGCAGAAACGATTTGTGAGCCAGGGGTTGCAGGGAAAGCAGCATTGTGAAGCAACGGGCTTGTAGTCATCAACTGCACTTGGACGCACTCATAAGTACTTCCTTTTTGAGGAGCTTTCGCCGTTGTGAAGTTGTTATTACATTTTGGGGTCACCTATGAGTTTTCTTGCTTTGAGCTGCCTCCTTCGAATGTAATCTCTTAAGAAACCCATAATAGATCCGAAATCTAGAAAACTAGCGCTTCCCTGGAGAGTGGCCTCAGTTTTCTCCAGCGCCCACTACTCAGAGAAATTCCCCGTTGTGATTTTGTTATGATAAATTGCAGACGACTTAAAAAATCCTCATCTCTGGCGCAGTATTATTTCCAGTTTGTTTGAAGACTTGAGTCTCTAGGACACATCTTTTCGTCAAAGTCGTTAGGAATTAGTTCGGCGCCGATGAAATCCACTTTGTATGGCGTCATGCATTCGACTCCCACGCAGAGGTGTTGGGAAGGTCCAGGTAAAGCTTCATCGTGCAAGCAGATGTGCCCCTACGGTTAAGAAAAGTCTGAAAGTACGCTGTTTTCTGTTTTTCTGTTGGTTTATTAAGTCATGACGTAGTAGTGGGCAGCCATCGTACTTTTTGTCTCTGCTCGTTCCCCACTTCTGGCTTGCAACTTGCCTCTGTCTTCAGGGGTCTCCTCAGGTACTTTTCCCCACTTTGAATGAGCTCTGCGCTCACGATGTCCCCCATCCTTCACGGTCAAACAAATACCACCTCCCCTCTGCCATGATTTTTACAACGAGGCCGTGCCCTGCTACCGGAGGTTCTGTGTCGACTGCTGGTTTATAACTGAACTCCCGCTACCCTAAATACTTGATCGCGTAAATTGTCTTCAAGCGGCACTATTGAACTATTCCTACCCCAAAAACTCAAAAAAATTTTCGCTGAAACGTTGCCTATAGATGTAATTCGATGCGCTGATCACGAATATCACATCCGTTTCGAGCGCTGGCGTCATTTGGCGCCATTATGCGCCAATTTGGCGCCCACCTTTTTTCACCAAAGTCGATGAAAACTTGCATATGGGGGTTAATTGAGGTCCTGATTACGAATCCAACATTTATTTTTGGCGCTGGCGCCATTTGGCGCCATTACGCGCCAATTTGGCGCCATATTGGCGCATAATGGCGCCAAATGGCGCCAGCGCTTGAAACCAGTGTGATATTCGTGATCAGGATGTCGATTAACCCCCATATGCAAGTTTTCATCACTTTGGTGAAAAAAGTGGTGGGCGCCAAATTGGCGCATAATGGCGCCAAATGACGCCAGCGCTCGAAACGGTGTGATATTCGTGATCAGCGCATCGAATTACATCTATAGACAACGTTTCAGCGAAAATTTTTTTTGAGTTTTTGGGGTAGGAGTTCAATAGTGCCCGAGAAATTTACTCTTCTCTATTTGTCTGCCCATCAGCTCGCTTGTTCGTTGGTCCACACAGTAGGCGAAACCAAACGCCTGTAAAACTGATAAACAAGTCGAGCTTGCGGCATCAGTCCTCCACGATGTTGTGGATGTAACAGCTCTCTTTCTAATACATGGGACACTCATTACACCCGCAGCCCCTATGCTGATGCCTCGCGTCGCGCGCCTTCTTCTGAGATCGTGCGTAAGATGTGTGGCAAAAGCAAGAAAAAGGAAACCAGGCGGGGATTACGGTTCAGACTGCTTCGTGAGAATAAAAATCAAGCTGATATCTTTGCTACTAGATATGGTATTGGCTTCGTAAAGAGTCGCGGCTTTCGGCTCCTAATTGTTGACGCGCTGCCTGATTGGCTCTATTCGGCGTTGGGCGGGATGACGAGTGAAAAGCCAGCGATACGGTAGATCGCATCACTCGACCCATGGAGAATCCATGGACGTATCAGCCTTCGTGATACGTTGAGATATACTTCCAGTAGCAAATACTCACTAGCAAAAATCGGTCAGAAAAGCTTTTTGTTTGGTTGGACATCTGGAAAATTTCCCGTTTTTTAGGTCCTAGAATTAATTGATAGGATGATGTGTTTCTACTCCCCTCTTAAGTTTCCGATAATGATGCTGTCGGATTTTCAATCGCACTGGTGAACATGATTGCTTTGTGGGCACCCTATTATTGCAGGATCACCACTCACCAATTGGATCCCAAAATGAGCGAAGATGACGAACCGCTGAACTACTCCACTTCGCACATGTCACAGAACGGTACGCTTTTAATTGTGCAGAAGAGTATATAAGAAGTTACATTTCACCATTCGTCTTTATCTTTATGGCCTCAATGGGCATGAAATGGTGATATTTTACATGTAACCTCATTTTACAACCTGCATTGCGAAGACGAACACGTCAAAAACAGCTGATCAAAAACGTCAAATGCCAAAGCCATCTAATGTCGTGCTTCTGTCAGTGTCAGATCAGGTGTTGAATGACGTTGACGCCTCGGGAAGATCCGAAACTTCTGCTGTTTCGAACCCTTCAGTGAAATGCCGTGATTATCAAAACATTTCTCAAGGCGAAGAAGCGGGCTAACATTTCATGTGAGTGAAATGTTCTCTTCTGAATAGTCACACCGTCTAAGAAATACATTTCTTATTTTGAATACTAGAAGAGGTATGACTCAAACGAGGAACCACATTTTCTTGGCAACAAACTGCTTTTTGATGAATTTTTTGCAAAGATTTAGTCGATATCGTTGCAATCAAACCATGCTGTTTTGAGAGGGATCCATTAAGCTCGTTTTCCGAGTTTCTACCACTGTTTTCTTCCTATATCGATCATTATCCGATCAATACTGACAGATCGAAGGGAGCCGGGGACGGACTCTTTCCGCCGCTACTGACCTGCCCCGGATTTCATCAGCTATACCTACAGTCGTCATCCGGGCACTTGATTAGGGCGGCAAGGGTCGCGACGCGGCTGCGGCGTGTCACGAGCGCGGCGATCAGCTGTTTCCAGCCTAATTTGGCCATTTTCTCCCTAATTTTCACTGTATTTTCTATTTTTTAGGTTAGTTGTTTTATTGTCTTTATGAAGTACATTAGGACGTGGAGTCTTTTTTTGTTTTTGCAATAGAGTGTTTTTGCGATTTTTTTCAGGTATTTGTTCAATTGTCTGCTTAACTGTTCAATTGTACGCAAAAATCAGAGGAATCTCAATCATAATTTACCTTGTGAAGACAAGGAACAACTAATCGTGAGAAAAGCAGCCAAAACAGTGTAAATTAGGGAGAAAATGGCTAAAATAGGCTGGAAAGCTGATCGCCGCGCTCGTGACACGCCGCAGCCGCGTCGCAACCTTTGCCGTCCTAATCACGTCCCCGAATGACGACTGTACATCGCTAGAAATTACTAAGGAGGTCTTCCAGGAAGTGGAGCGCTTTTTGAGGACAGTTTTTTTACATGACGTAGGGCACGTGCATGGAGTACTGAACTGACATTCTCTTTCTTCGTTCTTTTTTTGGTTTATGAGTACTAGTGCACACACCCTGTCCGGAGTGGCACTTTCCTAGCCTACCGTTTCCACGAGGGTCGTCGGCATACCCGTGTTTCGAAGTTACGGTAAGCCCCTATGACCCCAAACGTGGCGATCGGGCACCATGGCCGGCTGGTGCAGGTCTGTGCTACTGCTGACTTCGGCCGGGCATCATAACACTCATAAACGCATATTGTCCTATTTATTAGTCAGGTCGGAGTCCTGCTAAGGAGGTCTCTTCTTATTGCGTCATTTCCAGAACAGCAATGCGTACTACTATTTCATTTTAAACAGTCATCCAAGTTCGTGGTCTTTTCTCTGTTAATGGTTAGTGTTTTGAGTTCACTTAGTTTAAAGTGGTTATTCTGTGCCTCCCTCTATTTTTCCCTTTTCTTCTTTTTTTTCACTATTTCCTTGTTTCTACAAATGTTGTGTCTGTTTTGATTAACTGACTGTTTTAGTTGTAGTGCGGTAATGGCCGCAAATAAAATAAAAAAAAAATAAAAATAAACCGACGTTCATTTTTTCTGAACGCCTCTGTGAATACTAAACAAGGAGGGGAAGTGAAATTTTTGGACGCGTACTGTTTTCAACCCTCTATGAGCTGTAAACAACTTGCACGTTTGACCGATTACTGAGTGGAGAGTCCTTATGAAAGTACTATTGTACCTTGTGTTGAAAAGTTGTCGCAACTGGGGTCTTGCTTGTGTCATACGTGCTTGAGAGTGAGTGATTCCTAAGAATGGCTTCTTTAAGGCTCGGAGCTACATGCGTGCGCATGGATTGGAGGCCCAGCGCATAACGTGGAGAATTCTCGCTCGGGCAGTGGAGATGGGTGCAATGGTTCAATTGCACGCAGAGCACTGGCTACATTTTTAAGGTTTAGCTGTTCTCGCTTCCATATACATATATGTCTGTGAATACAACTCGGATATTTACCATTTATGGGCACATATAAATGACCAGTCTGGCTGCGCGCAGCTACTGCGCGGCGTACGGCTTAAACGGCTTACGATAACGACACAGAATTTGTCCTGAGCACCGACACTTAGCCTAATTCCCATGTTTCGAGGACGACCAATTTCATCATATTTCTCCATTTTAATGAACATTTGCCAGCGTTTGGTGCCTATCATAATTTCTGAAGCACCATAGGTGTGGGGATAGACAGCCAATAGGCGTGTGGAAGAATCTCGGATTGAGAGTCTGAATATCATAGTGGCTCTTATCACTGCCCGCACTGGCCAACATTTCCTTTGCGGTGAAACGGCGAGCGTTTTTAGCGGGTGGAAGCAATTGCCGCTAAACTGAGGATATGGCTAAGGAATAGATGGAGCCGCTGGCCAACGGATGATGTAGAAGCTATACGGGAGTCCCAAAAGCCTTTGTCGGACACTGACAGAATTTATCTCCCACCTTTAATGTTCCCTGAGCACCCCTGAATTACTTGCTGGAGCAGTTCCACAGTGTTGCAACAACTCTGCTGTGAATTTTCGGGGTATCTTATCAGCTCTTATCATATCCTGCCACAAACCAAATATGGCCGCATCCTGCAGCATATTTTGGCCATTTGAAGCGACGTCGCCGTTGTGGTTGGTCAAGCGTTGTGAGTTAGGATGTCTCGCCACCCTTTAATGGTCTCTTATTCTTATCGTGCGCAGTTATGCATTCCTGCCCTCACGGACGCATAATGTCTCCAGTCCTGCCATCATACTCTTATCTTCCTGCAAGCAGGTTCATCGTTGTGCTTGTGGCCGCTGTTGATGAATTAGACAACGCAATCTTTCTGGGAGCTGCGCTTCATGGTATCTATCAGGCGGTTATGCACTTCTGGCACCACCAATAATGTTACCCATGCTGCCGCGCTATCTTAACTACTTGTATCCAGCCGTCCCCGGTACCATTGCTCTGGCCGGTGTTATGAATTAGGTAACCCACACTTTCTGAGGCTCCTTATGGTATCTTATCAGCTGCTATCAATTCCTGCCACCCACCAATAATGTTCCCATCCTGCCTATCTTACTACTTGTATCCAACGTCCGGTCATTGCTCTGGCCGGTGTTATGAATTAGGTAACCCACACTTTCTGAGGCTCCTTATGGTATCTTATCAGCTGCTATCAATTCTGCCACTACCATACGTGTTCCTCGCACCACCCGCCTATATACTTATCAGTTTTGGAGCGGCTCTGTCACTCTTTTGAGGAAGTGTTATGAATTTCCCGGTAAACACATACATAATAGACAACACACACCAACAAGACAAACTTAGCGGTATCATATTAGTAGGATGTTACCCTCAGCCGGTGCTGTTCAAGCCTATTTCGTTTTTATACGGGGACACTAAAGCAAGATTATTGCAGGAAGGCTGATTTTATGGTTTGGTCTGATACTAATATTGTGTTCTGTGGTGCCATAGTATTCGCAATTTAGAGCTCAATCTTCCCTCCTACTGAACGACATCATTACCCCTACGGCGCACAGTCAGCCGACAAAATTTTTTCTGACACTTTCGGGCTTGTGTAATTGGGTTTTCATTCTGACTCATTTCAGACGTCATTCTAGCGAAGTCCGACGCTTTTTCTGAGTCAAATTCTTCCCACTGGATTGATTCAGAGAACTTAGGACTAACATATGAACGTATTCAAGTTCCAGGCCCAACATCCGAAAGTATCCTCTCCTTAACTTGAGCACCCATAACTTCTCTGAGAGTGGAGCGTCTGAAGAGGGGAATGCAGGGCTGTGAAGCACACGCTATTTCCGAGAACCTCTTCTGTAAGCTGCTATGATGCTAGAGGCTTACCCGTTGTAAAGAAGTTTCGGCATTTGCGAATTACCTGCGAGTATTTATGGTTGATGGCTATACCTTTCTCACATGTGACATTTTGGTATTGTCCCGGCATCTAAAGAGGATTTTGCTTCTTTAAAACGTTTTTCACACTTTTGGTGGGCGCGCCTCATTTCAAAATCTTCCCTTATGATTTTTGTTGTGACGTTTTATGCGGACGACACGAAAAACCAACACTCGCGACCAATACCACTTGCAAATCGTTCTGAAGAATTTGCATAAGTCTTCTGGAACACATTTTTCGCAGGAAATAGTTTTATTCCGGCGCCGGATTAGCACCACGTGTTTGTGATGGCGCAATGCTGACGGCTGCCCAGGCAGAGGGTGCTTGGAACTTGTATAGTTTGGTTAGGCTTTGTCGAGTACAAGCTCAGATGCGGCACTGCGATCAAGAAGGGTCCAGAGCACCGTACATTCAGTTCTTTATTAAATGTCATGACATGGCTAAGTGATGGCCAACCATGCGTACTTCTTCCACTGCCCGTTTCCACTTCTTGGCTTACAGGTTGCTTCTGTCTTCAGGTGTCTTTTAAGGTGCTCTTCACATGAAAAACAATTAGAAAGGCTGTCATCTTCAATGTGCAACATCTGAGTATGCCTTCTATCGCCCTTCAATAAGGAACCGTGGGTCCCCCCCGCCGTCTCGCTCTGCGGCCAAAATACGATCACTCCGTTGATGATCTTTCACAAGTAAAAAACTTTTTGGTCAAAAAATCGCTTAGAGGGTAATCGAAGGTCCTCATAACAACTCTGGCACTTATTTTTGGCGCTGACGGAAGCTGGTGTCAGGGCGCCAGTTGTAGCTTCAAATGAAGGCACTAGGAAGTTTCAGTGGGAGAAAATGAGGCTCTAATTGGCGATATTATAGCACTAACTAGAAGTAGGCG